TCTGCGCGAGCGCTCTGTCACGGTACGTCACATTCGATATGGCCTCTAAGCGCTGTCTATCTATGATAGTTTCTATCTGCGGCTACACCATTACCTGCCGGTCGGGACGTGGTAAGAAGTGATTAATATAACATATGCGCCGTTGACTTCTGCATCGCGTCCACCCTGTTTGTAACACAATCAGAGATATTAACAATGAAGTTGACTTTGACTTGATTTTGAAAAATAAAGAGGCAAAATATTAAATAACAGGCAAGCATCAAATATTATAAATTACACAAAGAAAAATGTACAATGGTGACCATCCAGGTGGACAAAGAAATAAGCAGTAAGTAATAATATCTATAAAGATGCATATCATTGTACATGTACTGTATATTGCACAGTGGTTTCGCACATCAGAGGTGCAGTGAAAGTCCTGAAGGTTGGTTTCAGAACGGCTAGTTATAAAATCACTTCCCGTCCCGCCGGCAGGATGGTGGGCCGCAGAGACGAGGACAGCGCTGAGGCCATGATCGATGTGACGTACCGGCAGAGCGCCGCAGAGCGGGAGGTGGTGTTCATCCTGCAGAGACTCTACCTGTGTGCCAGCGTTGAGTTTCTGATGGCCGTCGCTGACTTCTTCCTGCAGGCGCTTCCTCAGACACCAAACACTGCAACCAGCGACAGATTACCCCTCAGACAGACCGCCAAGCCTCGAGCCGACACCAACACAGGTAAAACCTACACTCTCTCATAGACTTATATACAATCTGAGGTAATAAATCCAGAGACAAGTAGGAACATGTTCTCATAGAATCAAGACTTCTTTCAGGAGTCGCCCCCTGCTGGATATCAGAGAGGATGCAGCTTTATGTTCTTTTTTTCTTCTTGCTCTCAAATTGTTCTGAGTAAAAAAGATTCAACAGAAAATCGCAATCATTTCCTGGTGTCTAATTGATGGAGAGTTTTAATCTTAACATAACGAAGATTTGTTCTGGTCAGCCTCTCCGGTCAGGACTCGTCTTCGGGCGGTGGTTCTGGACCCGGAGGTGGTGTTTGTTGCCAGCCTGATGAAGGCCGACACCCCCGCCCTCGTGGCGTCGTTCCAGTGCGACTTCAGTATGCAGCTGGAGGAGGACGGACGGCAAGACATGAGGGCCAATCTGAGGGAGCTCAAAGTGCTGGCCTGCCCCTTCATCAGGGACCAGGAGGACGCCGCCGTCACCACTGTGAGATCACATGACCCCCACCATCACATGACCCCCACCATCACATGACCCGCACCATCACATGAACCCCACCATCACATGATCCCCACCATCACATGATCCCCACCATCACATGACCCCCACCATCACATGACCCCCACCATCACATGACCCCCACCTCACCATCAGGGACAAAACACATTAACAGGAGGAACAAAAAAGAATCTAAGATTGATCTCCTAATTCGTCACTGCTCCTTTTCATTGTATTTTAGGTCTGAATTTGCCTTTGTATGTATGTCACCACTAGGTGTCTTCTTATCAGTGATTCTCAAACTTTTTTCAATCATGTACCCCCTTTGAAAAAAGAATTCAGCCAAGTGCCACCTGATCAGCGCAAAAACGATTTGTTCGGGAATAAATGCCTATATCAGTGTCTGATGTATTAAAAACAACCACACATGAGAAAACACTTAAG